AACATGAAGAGATCTATGGATACATCTCTCAACAGTTAACACCCATATGAAACAGATTTACTTTTTTTTTTAAAATAATTTTTTTTTTTGTTGTGGCGATAGTTACGGTTGATGCTGTATTGCTAGCAAGGATACAGTTGAAATTGCTACTCTGCTTCTTTGCTCTTCTGTTGTCATATATTCTGCTTCTTTTGCATAAACATCTACATATGGCAACTTTTACCAGTCACAGTTCCTCAGTCTCATTCTAACTCTGTCTTCTTGATGTGAGAAGTCGGGGAGGAAGCAGATCTCCTGCAGCTCTCCTCAGACTGTGTGTCTATCAGAGACAAACACAGGAACCGCAGCGGCTTCACGAGCTCCTAATGGACGGATGATGACGCCTCTAATGAATGCACTCATCATCTGTGTGGGTGGGGGTGGGGTGTTTATGGCTTTATGACAGTCTTTTGGTGTTGCAGCCAAACAGACGCCCCTGTCCTTAAAGACTCAGGGTTGAACTGAAGAGACACATTTTAAACACATGCTGCCCCATCCGTTCCTCTCTTCACACAGAGAACAGATTGGAGGAGAAGGGAAAGGAGAAACTTTCGCACTCCAGGAAAAAGGAGAATATTGCATTACTTTTCATTTCAATAAATTCAACGACATGAAGCATGATGATACTGTAAAGTCTCTTCTTTAATCCAGCATCAGCAGTGCCATCGCACATAAAAGACAACAACACAGAGACAGACAAAAGAGAAGAACATTTCACAAAGAGGGAGGATCAGAGTCTCTGAAGTTTGCCTGCTGGTTGAATACTGCGGCCATGGCTTAAATGCGCCTTGATAAAATGACTCCTTGAGGTTTTTCTGTATTTATCAGCAGGACATACTCCAGAAACTGTGTTCCAACAGTGAGGAGAGGAAGTACTGGGATAGGAGGCGGAGAGCAGAAAGTAACAGAGTTATTCAAATAAAAGTATAATTTATATACATATCTTCATTTTTATCGTTTTGTCTTCTTTGTCCCAATACTTTTAGGCTACAACAAATCAGACTGACTTCAGAACAGACAGTCGGCACAACAACATGGAAAACAGAATCTAAAGAACATGACAGACACAATAAAAGAGAATCATCTATATTACAATAAAATGCCATATCCCAAAAAAGACAAAACAATAATCAACCGTTTTAAAATCATCCAACAAGAGAGACGATGTTACTCAGTTTATATACAATAAATTAGAAATATTTCCTATCAAGAAACCTCTATTTAGTCTGTTTAAATGTTCAGTAAGTATTCCCTCCCGACAGATTTAACACACAAAGAGCAAGACGACGAAATGACGAGGGATGTGAGGCATGCGCAAACCGTGTAAACATGTTCTCGTAATTAGAGGATGTGATGCTTATCAATAAAGTCTAAGACAAAAAAGGCTCCATGTAGACCCGTTCGTTTCTGCGTAAAAACGACTAAATGAATAAAGCATGAATTAAACTGGAGGCAGAATCTACGCAGCTGTGCGTAAACGACATGTATGCTTCTAATTTTTTACAATGGCGGTGCATCCTTTGTGGTTTTCAAGCCACACGCACGCACACGCACACACACACACACACACACACACACACACAAACGCGCAGTATTGTAAAGCCAATGTGTTGTTTATGATCCGTCAATAAAACTGCCATCGGACGCCATTAACTACACCGACACTTCAAATAACGCCGGCCTTCCGACACGGCCTCTTCATATTTTTTACTTTCAGTAAACCCTAACCCTTAACCAGATAATACCCCGAGTTATTAAATGCGGACCCTTTTGCTGGAACATTTCACGTGGGAATACATATTTTACGTTATGTCCTTTTATATAAAAGCGTTATATAAATTCTAGGAATGATATTTTTTTAGGCTAAAACAAACCGAAAGATGATTTAGAAATTGTCAGTAAACGTGAGCGCATCGGGATTTTTATTTTCGTTCTTCAGCTGAAGCGCAGCATTTCCTGTAATGAGAGAGACCCGCCTTGCATAGCAGATAATACACAATATACTGTCTGTACAAAAATAGAGCAGATTATTTCTCAAAATGCATTCCAAGACCTACGCTGAATAAAGACTGTAAAATATGGACAGAGAATTAAAGTAAAGTACATTTTAACTTCGCGCGAACTGGAATCTGAAACAAACATGTATAACATTATCCCTGCAAATAGCTTGTAAACTAAAGTAATTAGCCAGTCAAATGAAGAAGTGTAGAGTTGCCTGTTTAATGCAGTTTGAGAGCGTTGGACGGGAGGTGCAGAATATGAGAAAAAAAACAATTGTGTGATCTGGAGCATTTTTGGAGATCCCCAAAAGCAGATGCGTAATTAAAACAAAAAGTGGATGGATATCATTTTAAAATACGGAGCGTTGTGCTGTGTCTCCTTTCAGATAATCTGTGCTTACTCCAAGTGGACGGGACGAGTATTGATATCCGATAAAGGCCTCAGCAGACTCGAGCAGAGCCGCCGCCGCAGCGCATAAAGCATCCCGGAGCTGAAGGGCGGCATCCAGCGTATCGACAGCAGCCTAATCGGAACCCCAGTTGCTGAGTCGGGTTAACACCCCCGGCACCTCATCACTTCCCACCCTTATCCTTCTCCTCCTCCTTTTCGGGTATCTGCTCATTACTTAGGCCGACAACCGGGAAACAAACGGCAGATAGCTGCTTGTATCAACGTCCACCATCAGGCGCTTTCTAATCAAATTCTGCAAGCCAAGAGAAAAACCAAGAAAGACAAATGTGTGTTGTGTGTGTGTGTGTGTGTGTGTGTGTGTGTGTGTGTGTGTGTGTTGTGTTGTGTGTGTGTGCGTGCGTGTGTGTGTGTGCGTGTGTGTGTGTGTGTGTGTTGTGTGTGTTGTGTGTGTGTTTGTGTGTGTGTGTGTGTGTGTGTGTGTGTGTGTGTGTGTGTGTGTGTGTGTGTGTGTGTGCTCATCTTGCTTATTAATGGCCACGTGAAACCCGGTTTCTTCAGCTACGGAACAATAAATAACTAAAAGAAGAGTAGTAGGCTACTGGAGAAAAATCTGTGAGATTTTATCAAAGCCTCAAATGAAGATTTAAACGTCAGACGTGTTTACGCAACACATCCTCACTCCCAGGTCGGCTATGTTGACGTTATGTCAAGTCCCCTGTGTCGGCTTTTTCCAACGCAAGCGGGGCGGCCCTTAGCGTACATTTTCTACTTTCCGAGATGTCCATAGGCTTCTATATAGGCTAGCTCCCTAAACGTATGTTGTAGGCGACTTGAGATCGCGAGCGAATGCTACCCGCAGATCCATTCTCACAGCGTTTATCAACCTTTTTCTTACTCAATATCAAGCCACACTTATTGTTTTTACTTCTTTATTTTAATTGAATAATGTAGGACATTTGTTGCCGTCAGTTATGGGGAGAGTAGGGGCTCAGAATATTGAAATCTGTATCTAATAGACGTGCCGTTGTGCGATTGCCAGGCAACGCAATAATTTACAAACTCTTCAACTACAACCCTAATTATTAGTCTCCTTGCAGTATCAACACTAATTCGGCTGACTTTTATATTTGATCCAATCGGTATATTGGTATATTTACACCATAACGGTGCACAGCTGATAGAAAGGGACACCTGGTTGTTAAAGCACGTTATTGAAATGTATTATTGTATTATTAGATATTAATAGGAAACACAGACAGACAAACTAATAAGGCTTTATTTAAACATTAAAGAATACTTTAGGTTAAGGTCTTATTTTGAATAAGAAAAAAGCTTTGGGGGTATAAATATTAAGTCTGACAAAGTACTAATATAATGCTTTCCTACAATGTTAACTACTGTATGTTTAAGCACTTATTTTTAACTGATATTATACATGTATTATACTCTTATAAGATGTATGTAGATAGTATAAGAAATGTGCAGAATACGACAGTTTAATAGTGGAGGTGTACACACATATTGATAGATGTCTTGTAATGCACTGTTGAGGAACCTGCGACCCAAGTCTTTCATCTCCGACCTTGTCAAGTATTGAACATTCAATAAATAAAGAACACAGAATTGTTAAATATAAAACACAGAATTTGTGTGATTATACTAAATGATTTACAAATAAACACCACTGCATATTTAACTGTTACACATGCTGATGTAACGCAAATGTTTCCAACTTGGGATCAATAAAGTATATCTTATCTTAAGATGATCGATGGCTACTGCCATATTTGCAAAATGTGCCTCTGAACCTTGACAAGTGCATGTTTCAGGCTTATCAATGAACAACAGGAGGGGTCACAGACATAAGACCAGCTGTTAAATAAAGCTCTTCTGACCTTAGCTGTCATGTGGGTATATATTAATGCTGCCCGTTATGGGCACAAGCAATTTTCAACCCATTTATTAATTATATGTTTAAATGTGAGTGTTTCCTATCCCCTAAACCTCCAGGGATGTACACAGTTTAATACTGGCAACTTCTTATTATGGGAAATATGAAAACGTCTTTTAAAACTACAACTCCCAGTAGAGACGTGCCATAGAGCTTGTTGCGAAACACACAATAGCCAGCATGTGTAGTTCTGGGGACGGGGTGGGGGAGGGGGGGACGCGGTGGACCCGTTCAAATCCAGTTTTGGACAGTCTGCCGTGGTTCCATCCCATTTCAAGTGCTGTGGTCGACGCTCGGCGTAACCCTCGGCGCACACTCAAACATCCAATCACAGAGCTTGAGGACTATCACGGGGTTTGTCAAGCGAAGCGGAGAGAATACTTACTTCCGGGTGTAAAATTCTCTAAAGCAAATTAGCTGCTGCGACCCTCGGTCCTGACGGACTCCAACTTGTGTTTATTAATCAAACAAATAAATAAAAACAAGGATAATTATCTGTTATTGTTGAGTAAATAACAGTGTGTGGTTTAGAAAATAATACAAAATTAGAAGGAAAAAACGATGAAACAATACAGATTTCAGTATTCTGAGCCCCTACTCTCCCCATAACTGACGGCAACAAATGTCCTACATTATTCAATTAAAATAAAGAAGTAAAAACAATAAGTGTGGCTTGATATTGAGTAAGAAAAAGGTTGATAAACGCTGTGAGAATGGATCTTCAGGAAGCATTCGCTCGCGATCATCAAGTCGTCTACAACATACGTTTAGGGAGCTATATAGAAGCCTATATGGACATCCCGGAAAGTTGAAAATGTACGCTAAGGGCCCCCCCCTTGCGTTGGAAAAAGCCGACACAGGGGACTTAACGTCAACATAGGCCGACCTGGGAGTGAGGGACGTGTTGGTTTACGAGCTTCCACAAGTGTGTGTGTGTGTGTGTGTGTGGTGGGTGTGTGTGTGTGTGTGTGTGTGTGTGTGTGTGTGTGTGTGGTGTGTGTGTGTGTGTGTGTGTGAGTTTGCGGTTAGAGACATAAGCAATATGGGACTTTATGTTGGTTGTATGCGTGCGTCATCGCCACTGAGAGTCCCGCTAGTCCTTGGGATGGTCCTTGCTCTGTTTCTTCATTTTCATCCTCCGGTTCTGAAACCAGATCTTCACCTGCCGCTCTGTCAGGTTGAGTGCTCTTGCCACCTCATGCCGCCGGTCCCGCGTGAGGTACATGTTGAACAGGAACTCCTTCTCCAGCTCGAGCGTCTGGTATTTGGTGTACGGGCATCGCTTCTTCCGGGAGGAGCGTGCATGTAGCCAGTTTACCGAAGGGTCAGCTAGAAAAAAAAGACAAGAGGAAGAAGCAGAAAATGTAATAAAGGTCTCCAATCCTGTCTTTGGAGGGTTTATAACCATATTCCCTCTGTGCGTAAAGGCTTCACTCGGAACACCCTGACTCTGCAATTGACACTGTGGTGTATGAACTAGTTTTATGGTGAAAAAAGCAGTAATTTGACACAAGGTGGTTTTTTGAGACTGCCATGGAGGACAGACGGCTTCACCCAACCGTACAGTCCAGCTGAAAAGCACATGGACACATGAACATGAACAACATCTTCATAAAGAGGGACTTTCACAAAATGGGCCATTGAATAACAAACACACTTCAAACCCCCTACTGATCGTTTTTTTGTTTTATTCATTACAAATCATTAGAACTTAGACGGCACTATAGCTCTGAAAGCCGGTTTCTGACCTTAGAAAATTACACCAATTTAATTTCGAATTTAAGTACAATTATTAAAAAGCAAAACCAATCTATTGCTACCTCTTTTAAGGTGACCTTCATTGCATGACTATGAGAACAGGTGATACCATACGAATGATGGCAGGATCATTGTGTGGTTACTTGATAAATCCCATTTAACCACAGAAAAAATGGAGGATGCAAATCAGAGAAAATGTTTTACAGGCCTACTATTTTTTTTTTTTTCTTTTGCATCAGAAAAATAATCATCTTGTAGCTCAGCACACTGTGCTGCCTCACTCTTAATCTCTACTAAATTAATAAACAGAAATGTATGGCCCTGATGGGAACAGACAACAAAATATGTCTTGCCTGCATCCTTTGTCTTTCATTAAACTTATAGAGACTTTATAACTACATACTCAAATCAAAAACAGGAGGAGTTATAATTTAGTTCTGTCAATATTAGAATAATTAAATTCAGAGACTTAGTGTTCCATTTTTTATTTTATTCTCATCAAAACTCTGAAAGCTCCAACTGGGCACAATATTGTTGAATTGTGCATTTGAGATTTGAATAACAGCATTGTAAATGCATAAATGAGGCTCCTAAATTGGCTGTTCTTCATTTTCGGCGGAGAGAAAGCTTTGAATTATCGCTTTGATTCTTTTTTCATCTGTCTCTATTTCTTTCTTTCTTGCAATTATCTAGTTTGCCAGACTTGTAATTAGCAGAGGCTTGTTGTTTGGATGCATGGCTCTGGTTTAGAGGGCTGAAGCTATCTGCTCTTCCCCTCTGCAAAGCACCAGGTTCTCAACTTGAGGCAGCGTTAAGACACAGTTGGCCATCACAGACTCCTAAAAAATCCATCATGAATGACAATGGCAGTTTCCATGCCTTTACACTATCTTGCAAATATAATCAGTTAAGTTCAAACCTGAGCATAGACGTTTATTTTCCCTGCTATATTTAGCAACATTTGAAAAGACCAGATCTGCTTCTGATTCATTTGCACTCACACCTCTTCTAAATAAAACCCTTAACAATGAGCAATCCTTCGCTGTGGTCAGGTCAGGATCCTCCACTCAATCACAACAGTCAGGCCAACCAAGCACCAGCTACAGTTTCTAAAATAAAATAAATAAATGCAATGCAATGCGAAACATCTCTGCCTTTTCATTAGCCAGAACTAGTTCTTACATTTTAGTTGCTGTTACAAAAGCTTAAATACCATCTCCTATGAGAAACAGCAGTAAGGGGCAGCGTGCAAAGCAAGACCACAATGGAATGACTTTCTTTAAATCTACTGTTTCTGCATTTCTGATGTCAGCAGTATAATTCCAAGTCGTTGTCCACCACCCAAATGTGACTAAAAGAGGATTAGGGTTGGTTTAGGGTTCGGGAAGAGCACTGGATTTATGTTGAGTCATTGGCTGTCTACCAGAGGCAGTGTAAGTCCCAATGAACGAAACACAGCACTCGTGCAGTCTAATCATCATGCTAATTTTGGGGATATGACTTCCATCAAAGTCAGTTTGGGTGACATTGGGCCCAAAAAAGCATCTCATTGTTGCTTTAAACTGCAACAAGTTGGCGTTAAGGAGGTTTCCTTCCCTTATGTAAAATACATCTTTAGTTAACTGGCCTAAAATGGCAGAAAGGATGACCCTATGACATGTGAGTGATGTCATGGGAAAAGCCTGAACTTCAGCGACTTTTGATGACAAGAGAAAAGCTTTAAAGTCACATGTGTCTTTTCTTGAGAAGTCTCTGCTCTAACTTACATTATCATATTCCAGTGGAGGCTTCATACTGTATGTCAATTTCACTAGAAATATTTGAAAACTGTGACAGTTCTTCTTGGTGTCATGCCAAGAAGATTGACATAATAAAAGCAGATGGCATTCATAATGGTTCCCAGTTGTGGACAAAGAACTGTTTTGTGTGGCGCTAAGACATGTTAGCTTTATGTTTGATGAAGTACATTAGCATTTAATGTTTGACATGCAACCTTTACACCAGGAAAATACTAAGATTTAAAGAAAGGAATCATGGAAAATGGAAAACTTGTTAAAAGATAAAATGATGATATACTAAGTTTCCGCTTGATGATCAAATGTTTGACCTTTTCAGTCCAAACTGAGTAATGGTAATAATGGAAATACCACATCTGATCCATCACCAAAATGTAATTTATGAGCTGGTTACCAAACTGAACCAACGCAACTGTCTCATACATCTCCTAGAATTCCATAAACTGTCGTCACTGGACATTTATTTCCATGTTTATAAAACTTAGAGTTCTGCTCAACGCCATTTGAAATGATCAAATAAGATGAATAAGGATCATGGTTGAAAAGGTATGACATCGCTATTTAAGATGTACAAAACAAACTATGTGGGGTGAAAAATGTTGGTGTTCTACGTAGATGTGAACAAACCAAAGCAATGAAAGTCCTACCTGATTTAAAAGACGTGTTGCTAACCCTTGATTAAATTACTTAGTAGGCTATCAATTGTAACAAGGCCTTGAGAGGTTTGCAGAATCTGTGAGCGTAATCTCTTCTTCTGGTTTTTCTGTAAATCATATTCAGAAGTTGGTTACAGAAGAATATCTCAAAGACTTCCATTGATGTTCTCGGAGTCACCCGACCTGTTCCTTTGGGGATCTGACAGAATATATCCTCCCTGTGTTAATAACAGCAGCCCATTAGTTAGCGGCCATCACCAGTAAATATGTCCTTAATACCCTCTGAAATCAATTCCCTGCAACATGGCCCGCATGTTAAGCTTCGATTTCATCTCAGGGCAGAATAATGCCTGCTGGAGAGGTGAGAAGGGGGTGGGGTGTGCAGCGCTTTTGTCACACCGTAAAGTGGGTGCTTTGCATTCCTCGGGTGTATAATCACCTCCAGGATCATCCATTACCTCCGGAGCTGTGCCGCGACCATGGCTGTCACTCGGGATGACAAACCGGCGTGGGGGGGGGGGGGGGGGGGGGAGAGGGTGCTGCTGGTGATGGTGGATGGCATTGACTTGTTTCTCCAAGTTGCAACAGTAAAGATGTGGACAGATGAAAAGAAGCATATGGGTGGGGGTTTATCGTTTGTACAGTCCTAGCTTGAAGTTGTCTTCAGGCTACAGCCTTGTATCTGCTGGGATGCCACTTGGACAATCATGGACGAAAAGATAACAAATCGTGTTAAGCTACGACCCTGCGGCACGATGTGTTCAATTGTAGGCCAATGTGTGTCTTTGCTTGTGTGTGTGTGTGTGTGTGTGTGTGTGTGTGTGTGTGTGTGTGTGTGTGTGTGTGTGTGTGTGTGTGTGTGTGTGTGTACACCATGATGAATGCTGCTTGCATTGAAACAGTATCCGAAGACTAATATCACATCCCATCTCTTTCTCCCTCCCTGAGCAATTTCCCCCTAATAGTTCCAGAAATTGACCTCTCATATATCCCAAAGGCACGTTATTACATTTCCAGAAGCCGTATTTTATTCCCCACCAACCCCAACCCTTGCACCCCGCCTCGCCCAGCCACCAACAGCAACACGCCAATTAATGGGGTTCTTCACCCGGCGTTATAACTTAATAAACTTCAGGGGTAATAACTTTCTCGTGCTGGCCGGCAGCGGCAGCGGCAGCACAAAGGCTGAAGTGTAATCTTGTAGTTTATTCTGGATGGCCGCCCAGCACCAGTCACACAAAGAGAATCTGTAGCTGGATGCCAGCGTTGACTGGATGTGATGTTTGGAAAGGTACGATTGCACTGATGTTATTCAAACCGCAGACAGTTTGAGTACCTGAGGGAAACTCTGCCTACAGTTATGCTCCAACATGCAGATACTAATCATTTCTCAGTCTTGAATGGAAAGAGCATCGGATACAACTTGTTTCAAAGTTCAGGGTGGATATTGCCACTTGTACCCATTACTAGATGTTGCTGATCTTAGGATCCTTCACAGTGCCCTCCTCAAATGAAAAGTTCTGAATAAGGAAGCATTACGTTTCATCGTGGATACAATTGTTATTCTGCTATTAATGTTTCCCTTTTGGCAACATATATGAGCTAACACATATATATATATATATGCAATATATAACGTGATAATCTAGGATTTTGGCTAGCTGCTTCCTGTTTCCAGTCCTTGAGGTAAATTAAGCTACATACTGTACTTACTGTACAGACATTAGAGTTGCATCAATCTTTCCCCAGAATCTCAGAAAGTTAACTAGCACACCAACACAAATGTCAAACGATTCCGTTAACAAAGATCAAAACAGCCATTGGTTTACTCAACCGTCATAATGGCTGATAGCATTCTGTCATTGCAACACAAATAAATCAATCCCAACACAACCAATTGAAATCCTCTTCATAATATGTCCAATTAAATTCCTTTGAAGGAGACAATTCATATTTACACAAGACACAGGAAAAAAAATCCCCCTTGTAGGATTTATAAATAATGTCCTTCTTCCATACTAACCTAAGCTTGTACTAACCGTTATTTATCCCGGTGTTCTTATAGTAACCATTCAGTGAAGATACTTAGGGTTAGAGCAAGGGTGATTTTATTTCGCCTGCATAGAGAAATATTGGGCCCCATAGAAAATGGCTGCCTTGTGAACAAAAGAAACTGGACTGGCTGCAGCTCCCCTAGTGGCGGCACACTGTACAACAAACAACAAACCACAAGAAAGAGAAACTTCCTCTAATTGAAAATACTCTCAGTTCTGCCTGTTTGAACATCAGAGTCCATTACAGACAAGACTTCATTACCACCGAGCAGACTGAAACACAGTGATGATACACACTGGAGGCTCTGATGGATGGCCTGCTTACATGCTGTAATAAGGCTGTGTGTGTGTGTGTGTGTGTGTGTGTGTGTGTGTGTGTGTGTGTGTTGTGTGTGTGTGTGTGTGTGTGTGTGTGTGTGTGAGAGTGTGTGTATTGTGTGTGTGTGTGTGTGTGTTTATGTGTGTGTGTGTGTGTGTGTGTGAGTGTGAGTGTGTGTGTGTGTGGAGAGAGCGTGTGTGTGTGTGTCATGTGTGTGTGTGTGTGTGTGTGTGTGTGACGAGTGTGTTTGTGTTGTGTGTGTGTGTGTGTGTGTGTGTGTCTGTGTGTGTGTGTGTGTGTGTGTGGTGTGTGTGTGTGTGTGTGTGTGTGTGTGTGTGTGTGTTGTGAGTGTGAGTGAGTGTGTGAACAGGGAGAGAAACTGGGAGCTAGAATAGTGTGTGTGCCAGTGTTGCTATTACGTGTGTAGCTCTATACGTGATAGTATCTGCGAAACTTTATGTAGGCTACCATCAGAGCCAGAATAATTCAAATAGTTTTAAACTTGGTGCTTTGGATATAATGTGTGTTCTATCAGTGATGATGAATTGCATTTTGCACACGTTTTTTGTTGTTGTTTGCTTTAAACCTGTATTTAATAACACATGCAAACATTGTGAATAACGTTTTAAAAAGCCAAAGTATCTTTCCCTCTACAGCTGTGTGTCTCTCTGTGTGTGCGTGTATGTGTCGCAAGTGTGTGTGTGTGTGTGTGTGTGTGTGTGTGTGTGTGTGTGTGTGTGTGTGTGTGTGTGTGGTGTGTGTGTGTGTGTGTGTGTGTGCTTTTGTGAGTGTGTGTGTAGTATTTGCAATTTGTATTCCCCTGTAAGGCCAAACGGTCAGGTTTACAGACGCATGGATCAGAGTCCTCCGACACAAAGTAGATTTATGGGGCGGGATTAGAGGAGGGAAACAGAGCCCTTCACATGCTGGCTTGCTTAGGGAAATAAATAAGAAATAGGCCGACATAAAAAAATATCAAATGAATATCTTTCCAGGGAGCCTTTTTCTGTCCCGCCCAAAATAAGTCAAGAAGGTTTGGAAAATACCTCCAAACCGAGCCAGCACATGATGGATATAATGTTGCTGTTAGCGGGTGCAGACAGAACAAACCCGGGTTATATGGAGAACCTCCGCGGCTCTACATCAGGATGACTGCTACTTAATGACAGGTCCAATATTATTATTATTACTGAGTGAACAGATGAGTAAAACAGCAAAGGCGGCTGCATGACCCGCAGCCTACAGACTAACACCAAGCTGAATTAGTGTATTGAAGTCAAACTGCCGCCTTCACATAAATAATGAACCCCCTTATTTTATAAACAATAACCGAACTTCGAAGGTTGCAATAGGCTACATTTCGTAACAGTGAATACAAATATGAGTTTTATTTGATCACATAATTCAAAAAAACACAACATAATTCACAATTGTACAGCTACAAACTGCGTAAATATGGCCCTACGGGCGATTATAATCGTATATCTTGGCCTCGGCACTATCTACAAATAATCTGCTCTTCACTTCCTGACAGTGACAGACGTCCCGACTGCCTGATTGCTATATCATTTTTAGGACAGCCCATGCATATAGCTGACATACATTTAATAGTTTCAGCTGATGGAGATGTTTGACATTGACGGGAACAAAGCGTTGTCCTTTTATGTTTGCATTTCTTTGCTTCAGAATAGTGACAATACAACAGAAATATGAAGAATAATCCCAGCACCCCTCCTCTCAAGAATATGGGAAATGACAAAGCAGTTGATTGCAGAATGATTATCAAGGCAGTATGGCCTTTCAAAAGCATAACTAGGCTACATAGCATATTAAATACCGCGTCACATGGTTACCCTAGCCTGTAAAGAGAAACCGCGGCCTGCATGTCCATGGTGACGGCAGTAAAGCTCTGGAGCTCATGTCTCCAGACATCGCTTCTGACTTCAGTGCATATGTGGTGCGAGTGAGCAGTGGATATGGAGCAGGAGGCCTACAGCTCGAAAAGGTCTGATTTGTTTGTTCCAAAAGGGATTTACACAGTGTGACTGACGCGAGGAGCTTTAATACGCAATGGCGCGCGGACACAAACTCATGTGCGACACAGAGAGATTAATAAAGCCCTGCGACCTACAACCCACCTGCAGTAAAACCCTAAAGTAAAATGCAAAATCAAATCCGAAGCACCATCCCACTTGAAGCTGTTTCAGCAATACACATGCCCTGAGCAATTACCTTTTCACGATAGCTCATAATCAAACAATGATTGTTTTTACACAAGCTGTAATTCCAATTAAATGTATATATTCTCTGCTCATGAAGATATAAATCCATATGTTTTTTGTTGACACTTTCCAAACTCACCATCAAGATACTATCAAATCATCAATTATTTTTAAACTGGCATATTGTTGCAAAACAGCGTGAATCGTATTATTAAGAAATGCAATGCAAGTATCCTCTGAACACACCATCCAACTGTGTTATGTTTAGGGTTAGGTTAAGTTAAATAATATAGTAACCGGTTCTAGTTATTGTAGCCTACTAGTTTTAATTAGGCCTACTTAGCAAGTTGTCCACTTATTGTGTCCACCTCTTATATGTTTTTTGTAGCTTCCACAGTATTGCGCAGGGACCAGAACAGAGATTGGTTTAGTGACGCTACATAATACAGTTAATATTGTTAATAGGCTATCAAGAGTAAACCGTTACTGCAGGAGCCTGCTGCTAACACAGGGATGATCCGGGCTAAATATCTCAGTACATTTAGGAGAGCAGAAGGTGGGGGCACTTTGGCACTCCGGCTCTTTGTTCTTGTTTTATGGCGGCATTAAAAACATTTACAATCTCCCTCTCTCGTTTCCGCTCTCTCCTGCCTGCTTTAATAACTTACTTTGATCCGGGACGTCTTTGTCCTCACTCGCATCACAAATGTCCTTATTTTCTTCGAAACCTGCTCTCGGGATGGCAGCCGGATGGAGATTTAGCTCGCGCGCGGCCGTGGACGCAGACTCCAGGATGTACGTGGTGGTCTCCTGCTGGATCTGTCCGCTGAGTTTAGTCGGGATCTCTCCACCGTGGTGTCCGAGCTGAGGCTCCAGCTTGACCTGCCCCGCCTGGCCCTGCCCCGGGACAGCCTCGGAGCCGCGCGGCGCGCAGTCCAGCCATGAGCGGAGGTAGCGTGTGTCCGCGGCGGGCACGTGCTGGGCTGGGATGTACGGGTGGTAGACGGTTGGGAGGCCGCTGGCCCCGTGATGCGGGCTAAACGGGCTCCAGGAGGAAGAGAAGACCGGGTGCTTCGGCTGGAAGCTGCAGGACGGGTAGGACTCCGGGTGGGGTGCTCG